TTTTTTTCTGCTTTAGTGAAGGGCTAGTGTTGCTCATTTCCTCTGCAGTTTCCTATTGACCTCAAGATGAAACTGTATCAGTTAGGAAGTAGCTGTCATGCATCTGACTATTCATACTTCCAAACTCACGTTCAACAGCCATCTGCATCTGCAGTCAAAAGGCTTTGACATGATACAAGCCCCGGCATCACAGAGGGTCTGGCTGAGTGATTCCCATCCCATTATATTTAGGGCAACGAGTGATTTGTAGGTTGAAAAGAGGTCCTAACTCGGGAAGACTCAGACACAGGATTATTTTTCAGCATAACTGTATTAGGAACTCTTTGTTGACCTTTTTAGCTTATTTTAAACCTAAAACCATCTGAAACCCATTCTTCCTTTGGTCCTAGAACTCCCGGGTAACCAGTTAACTTTTCAAGTTTTCTTTGACAGCTCTTCTTCTTAGTTTACACTTCCCCAAGGTAAAAAAAAATGAGAACATTCCCCATGCTTCTTTAAACTGTGTGGTAAAAATGTCGAGCCTACCCTTATTCATGACTCTGTGCCTCCCTGAAGCATCACATTCCCCTGGTCTCTAACTTACACCATCCAGTAAAGACACTGCCGCTCAGTCACACACTGAGCACAGCACATGTGGCCGGTCTGCACTGAGAGGTATGGCAAGGCACATGTGAAATCCTGAAAATTTGGTTCCAAAATAAGTAATGTAATATGCTATAATGATTATACATTTAAAACTATTTTGAGTAAAGTAGACTAAAATCCATTGTTAAAACCAACTTTACCTACTTTAGCTTTTTTTTTAAACTGTGACTTAGAAAAATTATTATTGCATACATGGGTCATGTGACATTTCTGTTTTTGTTTGGTTTTGACTTTTTGAGATGGGAGGGTATCTCATTTTATAGCTCAGGTTGGTCCCAAATCATTCTTCTGCCTCAGCTTCCCAGGTCTTGGAACTACAGGCATGTACGCCGTGTTTGCCTTGGCATCGCATGTCTACTAGATAGTCCTTCTTCCACACAACATTCACACTGAACACATGAAGGAGTCAGCTCTTCTCTGTGCCCCTGGAGCTGCACTTCACAGTGTGAGGAAGAAGCATGGCACAATGGCAGCCAATGCAGCTGAGGAAGCTGCTGGATACAGGACCTGACCCTGCGTTGAATTACTTATGACTGGAATGGCAGGATAACTCTGGTGACTGTGACAGAACTTGCTGATATTTGTTCTTTGGCAGCTACAGCAGGAATGGTTGCAAGGCAGAGAAGTCACAGTCAGGCTTTGGCTGAAGGAGGGCAGCAGCAATTACAACAAAAACAATAAAGAAGGGGGTTTGGTGGGTAGGCTAGTGCACAGCATTTGCATAGTGTGTATCAGGTGCTGCTTTGTTACCCAGCTCTACCAAACGAAACCGTGTGTGTGTGTGTGTGTGTGTGTGTGTGTACAACAACAAAAACAAAAACAAGATAACCCCAGCTGCTATCTGTTTCATATGACAATGTGGCATAGTTACTTCATGGACCTGAAACATCTAACTACACACCAACATTATCTAGCCTTATTTGTCTATTGCAATCTTCTTTACTAGTATGAGGTCTGAATTCGCTTCCTTTATTCCCATGTCAAAGTAGCTCCTAAACTGTTTATTCTAGAAGCTCCCATGGAACCACACCTATGGGCTTTAAGGCAAGCAGAAGGAGGACTACATACTTCTCCTGAGGTCCCATGAGGTCTGGTACCCTGGGCCAGGTGGGAAAGAAGAGAAACCTACTTAGTTGCATAGGCTACATCTGTGTTGATACCTCCCACGGTAAGGTCAGCCTTCTATCACCTCATGTAAATATTTATTTGTGTGTTTAAACTGTGTTTGTGGTGTACATATAAGTTTTTATGGATGTGTACACATGTAAGTCTGGGGTCATGTGCATGTGTGAGCACATAGTGACCAAGGATCAATGTCAGGTGTTTTCTTGTTGCTCTCCACCTTGGTTTCTGAAACAGGGTCTCTCCCTGAACCTAGAGCTCACCGATTTGACTAGGCTAGCTAGCCTGGGATCTGCTCATTTCTGTCTCCCCAGCACTGGGGCTATAGACTTGTACCAGCACATCCAGCTTACATGGATGCTGTGGATTGGATAACCAACCAAGCCATCTCTTCAGACTCTCTGCTACTATTTAAGATGAACTTATTTTCCTCCCCCAACCCTGTTCTCTTCAGTTACCCTTTGGTAAAAATGACAGGTGGTAGTTAGGAGTGCAAAATATGAGCCTTCTAGAAAGGTCCCTAAGAGTCCCTCAGGAAAGGCTCCAAGCCCACAGAGCCCAGCACAGGTCTTCACTGTCTCTTTCATGTCTCGCCTTCATCACTTTCTGTCTTCTGTTGCTAACACACCTGCAGTGCATGGGTGACTGAACACAGGGTCAGGACACATGCTTAAACCATCAGATCACCGACTGTCCTGATCTATTGTCTTGAGTTGGAAGAAATCTTTGAGAGTTGAATCTGTGCGTGCCATTATGTCAATAGGCCACAACACATACACTTTACAAAACCTGAAAACTTTTTGAGTTATAACCCAGACATCTGACGAGGCTGCTTACTTTTATAGCCTTAGCTTTTAAACCCTGCAGACTTAAAACATCACAGGCAGTGCAGGCTTTGTTTAGTCACAGAACACATGACTTAAAATCAGGCATCTCTTCTTTCAAAGTGTGAAAGCTATCATATAAAAGGGACAGCACTTATGTCACCCTGCAGCAACTCGAAGTTAGCATGCTGATTTTCTTGTTGCAATCTACTTTAAAAACAAGTTAGTTCCAAAGTTACTTTTTATGCCAAATTTTTAATTTTTTGCTTGAAGAAGCACATACATCTAACTTATGTGCCATAAAACATATTTATAATGGAAAGATTGGCACATTTAAATATAAGTTGGGTTTAATGTCAGAAACATTATCATCTCATTTTAAACTGTGGGAAGCTTGAAGGATAAATTAAAATATTTGACTGAAAATTACCAGTTAGTATTTTGAAAGCATTATTCTTCATGAGAAGTCTTGTACCGACATATCTAGATTTGACTAGAGACAACTAAGTGGAGATTTCTCACTCTTGTCTAAAATATCATCTTTGGGTTTACATTTCAAATGTAAATTCATCTGGTTGACAGAGGCTCAGAACTAATGCAGCAAACAAAATTATATTACACAAGGGGCAAGTTACAAAAAGAATATTTTGTTGGATGGAGTACTATTCAGCAGAAAAAAATAATGGAATTATGAGATTCGCAGGCAAATGGATGACACTAGAAGAAACCATCCTGAGTGAGGTAACCCAGTCACAAAAAGAGAAACATGGCATGTACTCTCTCATATATGGATTTTAGACATAGATCTGGGGAGTGCCAGCCTACAATCCTATGGCCAGAGAGTCTGGGAAACAGAAACTTCATTTAGTGGCTGGTTAAGTACTGAGCTGAACTCAAGAAAGCCAGTATCAGAGAGGGAGGACTGATGATCAAAGGGATTAAGACTGGGCTGGTTTAACCCCCAGAAACAGCTGACCAGACAAAGGTTAACTCTTGAATCCCAGGCATCAGCCTGGGAATCCAGCATGGGACTGATCAAGACCTCCTGAATCTGGGTGTCAGTGAGGAGGCCTAGGGAATCTATTGAGCCTTGGACAGCAGATCAGTACCCATCCCAAGTATACACATGGACTCTGGACTCCCATAGAACAATGTGAGGTGCACTCTCACCCTGAACTCTTGGGGAAGGGTCTAGGCCCTGCCCTATATGAAATGACAGACTATGGACACCCCCATGGAGGGCCTCACCCTCCCTGGGGGAATGAGGGGATAACGGGGGGGGATGGGGGGAGGGCACGGGAGGAGGGGAGGGAAAGGGAGAGGGACCTCAAACTGACTTGTGAAGCAACCTTGTTTCTTATCTAAATTTAAAATGGAAAATAAAATAATAATAATAATAAAAAAAAATTAAAAAAAGAATATTTTGTTGGTTTTTCCTGATATAGGTCAGGGATGTTTCTGTGTTTTATTATTTGCTTTTTGGAGGGTAGTTGTTCTGGTCTTTGAGACAGAGTCTCACTGCTTAGCCCAGGAAGACTCCAAAATTATGATCCTCCTGCCTTAGCTTCCTCTCAAGTGCTGGGTTTAGACATATGTCACATGTGATTTTGTATTGGTCACCATCAAAATGTTCTAGGTGGTTCAAAAATATAGGTACACTTCATGTCTGTGTGAGAAGTCTCTCATAAACATATGTTAGCTAAAAGTGTATAAAATCAGATGCAGAATCAAAAGTAAACAATCTTTGGACTAATCCTTTGTTAGGATGTCAAAGCTGCTGAGCCTTCGTCTAGAATTGTTCCAGTTACTTCTCGTGCTGTTCATCGAAGGCAATGGATGCATCTGTCATTTATCATTTGTGTGCTAGCAAAAATAGTATCACAGAGAATCATGAAGGCTAATCAGTGTTCATGGGCTATACATTGTTCAATCTGATTCAAATTCAGTAATGATTCTTTTACTTAGACCCCACACAGGCTCTGATTAAGAAAATCCCATCTCTATCCACCTTTAATACAAACCATGACAAGCAGGACTCAGATGCAGCTGCGACCTAACAAACAGTTTTGTGTACCCAAGCATCCCTTTTAGTGAAAAGTTGTATATGGAGGTGACAAATGTATGGGCATGCTCTTTTCTTTGTGTGTGTGTGAGATCAGATGTTAACATTTCATGGAGGCCAAAAGTCAAAATTTTGGCTAGACTGGCTCTTCCTTGAGCAGCCAGGATCCACCTGTCTGTACCCTCCAACTCCCCAAAGTTCCACACCTGGCCTTTACATGGGTTCCTGGAATCCACACTCAAGTCTTCGTGCCTGAGCAGCTCACAGCAAGTGCTACCCCCACTAAGCCCACCTCCCCCGTCTACATGTGCTGGCTTGCACTAGAGCACAGACTTCCAACAGCATACCTTCACAGCGCCATTCTCATGTATGGTGATGCAGTTATCAGCATCTTCTGAGAGCTGGTACAAGGCCTGAGCTGTAGCTCGATGCACGTTGGTGTCATTCGATTTTAGGTAACGCACTAATGGAGCCACTGCTTTGTGCTCACCAAAGGCCACTCTATTTCTTCCCCACATACAGCAGCGGGAGATAGCTTCGGCCAGGTGGCGCCTCAGCTTGTCGTTATTCTGCACAAGGGGAAGAAACGAGTGTTCACCACAGTGATTCTGGGAGGCTGGGCTCATGCCTATTGCCTACTGAGATGCCAGGGAGTCAGCAGAAGCGCTCAGGGGCTATTTAGGAAATATCTTGAAGGAGCTAGAATTTGTATTTTCTTTTTTAAAAATATTCTTGTTTTTGGTAAAGTGTATTCATGATGTAGCACTGAATGACCTTGAACTCACTCTGTAGACCAGACTGGTCTCTAACTCAGAGATCTACCTGCCTCTGCCCCTTAAATGGTAGGTTTACAGGGCCTGGAATTACTTCTATGAGCTGAATGTAAACCGTGCTATCACAGATGAGACAGATCTCCAACATCGGTCATTTGTTCCAGGAAGCATGATTGCCCAAAACCTAACAAATAGGGGCCAAATAGGGGCCAATGAGATGACCAGTAGGTAAATGGTCTTGCCACTGAGACTGATGACTTGAGTTCCATCCTGGACCCTCATGGGGAAAATTGTTGTATGACCTCCATGCACGCATCATGCTGTGTGCATGCATGTGCGTATGCACACACACACACACACACGCACACGCACGCGCATATGCACGCACACACACTCATACAATGTAAAAAACCTTATAAGTTATTGTTACTTATTAATAAAATATTTCTAGAATATTGGATATTCTTCAAGAACTAATTCATTTGATTGGGACAAGTGGATTAACTCTACTTTTTCAACCTATGTGTATGTGTGTGGCACACATGCATGTTTGCATTTACATAGGTACACCTGTGTGAATGGGATACAGGTGTCCCTGGAGGCCAGAGGTTGACTATGGGTGGTTGTCTTTGATCACTTTCAACTCTATAAATTGAGGTGGGGTCTTTTGAACCCAGGTCTTGCTTATTCAGCTATTCTAGCTAGCCACTTTGCCATGTGATCCCTCATCTCTGCTTCCTATGCTCTGGAATCACAGGCAGGCCAACATATACACTTGACATGTATGTGGGTGCTGCAGCTCTGAAATCTACTTTTCATACTTGAGTGGCAACTGCTTTTACCTGTAGAGACCTCAAATCTCACCTTAATTTCTTAATGGGAGAAGACGGAAAAGCACATACAGTGGCATCCACTGGACTGTCTGCTGCCCTTTCTCTATTTTCCTTACGCAAACCAGACTTTTGGCTTAGAATTACCTCCTATAGGAACAGCATAACTGAATGTGATGTGGTTTTCCATTGTCCTGTTCTCTTGACGCAGAGAGCTTGTTACCCTCTGAGTCTGACAGATCCTCTTAGAAATGCTGGTGTCCTACAGTGTTTGCATTTCTGTTTTGTCCTGCTGCTGCCAACTGTTATTACAGCTCTGCCCAGATACCTCTGGGCATGGTGAAGTCATCGTCTGAAGGCCCTGCTCTAGTTGTCACAGTTTTAAATAAACAGTATAGTACTGCTAATGTCGTCCAGCTCAGAACTGTCACTGTCCAGGCTTCTAAGCTAGGAAAGGAACAATTCAACTTCTAATGACAGTGGCAAGGAAGATGACAGCTAACACATAATAGCACTTACATTTGCCACAGCTTTGCTTGCCAACAACAAATAATAAAAAGCCTTTATTTAACAAAGACCTTGCATATCAATATTCTGTTTGTAAAATATACCTTTGTGTCCATCAGTCTTAGGGAAACTTAAGAGTTGAAGACAATCTTACACTTCACAAGCAATGGACATGAAACTTCAATTCAGATCTCTGGAGTTCACGTTCCTTGCTTTTTTGTCTATTGTGATTTGAGATACCCCATGAAAACAAGGCATTACTTACTGTGTTGGCAAGTTTGGACAGCAGAGGAACAACTCCATGGTCTGTAATAACAGCTAAGTTTTCTTGGTCTTTTGCTATGTTGGTGATAGCGGCACAGACACTTGCCAGGACTTCTTCATTATCTGACTTCAATAAATTGACAACAAGTTCTAAACCACCAACGAAGGAACGAACCATTTCTCCAGCATCCTGAGTAAAAGAGAAACACCTTCTCTTAGGCTAGTTTACAAAAGGTAGAAATAATAATAAGGCTATTAGGTATATTTTAAGATAAAAGAAACATTTAGTATATTTCTGTATTTTCAAATTCTATGTATATATAGTATGTTTATGTATGTAATATTGAATATGTTCCCAACAGGTATACACAGATTGGTTTGAATATTTACCATAGGAGCTCCTGAGAAGGTAGCAAAATACAGTTGGTTTTTAATATCTGCAGGCAGTTATATAGTTACTACAAGCATTGAAGTAGGCAATAGTGTACCACTGCTCTTTGGAGGAAACACAGAGTTAGGTTCTGACCAGCTCTGGGGACAATATTTTTGCCAACTGATCAATATATAATATTATTGTTATGTTTCAGTTTGAGCACTCGTTATTTTATATATTAAGCAATCACATTTATTTATTCATTCATTCATTCATTCATTCATTCATTTGGGGGTATGCTTGCCACAGCACACTAGTAGTCAGAGGACAGCTTGCAGGATTCGGTTCTCTCTTTATTTCCAGAGGATCTGACTTAGGGGTGAGACTTCGTTGCAGTGCCTTTACCAGCTGAGTCATCATGCTGGTATGTACATGTATATTTTCAACTCATTAACATTAACACCATGACCAACAGCACTATAACTCATGTATAGAAGCTTGTCAAACACATATTTACTCTGAAAAGTACATCAAAGCCTTCTTGTGCTTAAGAACCATAGGCAATTCTTCAGCGCAATGCCTGGGGACCATTTAGCAGTGAAATAATGAACACAAAGCACAAAAATATGAAAAATGTGGCTCCACGTGGACTCCCAAATGGCCCCACATTTCCAGTATGAGCTGAAACAAAAATGCTGAGTGGCCTGTGTGACCTGTTCAGCTTCAGCCAACAGCACACAGCCAAAGATCTGGACTCTTTACCTTTCTGCACGTCTCCAAGAATGGCCGCGAAAAGGCCTCAAGAGTGAGCTGGGATTACAAAAAGGCTTCTATCAACAATCATGAATGAGCATGTTGATACACACACTGTGTGCCATTGTGTTGGGCACATCTGGTGGGGAAACCAAATGTGCACTGAGAAAAGACATGATTCCGGGCAGACATAGTGGTTCAAGCCTGTAATGATAGCCTGGGACTGAGGCAGGAGGACTGTGAATCTGATGAAAGCCTGGACTGCAGGACCCTGCCTCCACAAGGGGGCAATAGGAAAGGTAAGGGAAATACAGTGAATAGCACACCACCGGACAGGTGGGTAGGGCGGAGACATGCTAGGGACTGATATAAATAGCGGGATATAACATCTTTAGGAGACACTGCCTGAACTGTATGTAAATGTGCTAGCCTGACTAAGCCTTACCACGATCCTGCACAGTAGGTATGATTATTGATTATTTCAAGTTTGGATCTTTCAAACTGATTTAAAAATTTAAAACTCGTTTACAGATGTTGAACCTTATAAACTAGATTATATCCCAAGCAAAGGCAAGATGCCACGTGAGCTTTATCAATCATCAATTTGATTTCCACATTCCCACACCTCCTAAGTTCTTCCATGGTGCACCTGATGTGGGAGAAAATTCAAGCTCCAAAACTCAGTTACTAAGACATTCTTTGCAGCCTGTTCTTCATCTATAGCTTCGACCTGATCACTTCTAATATCTGACACAAGCACTATTCCACTGGCTTCTGCTGAAAACTGAGGTAAGAGGCTCCTAAAACACATCATCCAAAGCACAGACCACTACAGGTAGTGAATGGCTTCCTTGTTTCTCTTTTATCTTGAACTTTATCTTCTAGGTGGGCAGATCATTCATTATTCACTAGCCTTGCCAGTGTCTAGCAGTTAGTGCTTGTTCAAATCATGGTCTTTCCCATTGCAAGCCTGTAGGGGGCATAGGTGCCTTTGTGCTCCTAAACACACACTAGGAGAACCTGGAATGTTTAGCACACAGGGTTGTACCTTCAAAGGAAGGAATACAAAATGCAGAAGACTGGAGAGGATGTGCTTTCTGGTCTGGTGACCTTTGCACTGTCCGAGTGGCAGGAGATTTTCCAGCACCCAATTCTTCCTCACACCTTTATCATACATTTCTTTTTCTCAGTTTCTAGAACCTACCTTTACAGACTTTACAAAGTTTCAACATAGTAACATCTGACCTGTATTTAGCTTACTTTGTTCCTCAGAGAGACTTATGTCTGCTCTGTTGTGCTCATTGGTTTGAGTTGATAATCACCACAGTAATCTTCATCAAATTGTGCTGTGTGTAAATATGCCTAAAATAAACTACTTGGAGCCAGACTTCTGAAGTTTGAACCAACACTGGCTACTAAGTTGGTTGAGCAGAACTGCCTTCTTGCTCCCAGGACTCCGCGGGATGTGAAGGTCTCAGGGACCTCTAAATGAGCCCAGTTGCATAATAAACCAACTAATCTCCTAGTAGAAGGTGAAGCCGGTACAGAAAGTCAGATCTACCCAAGCACAAGGGGCAAGCGAGAGTCAGCAGGCAATGCAGCCTTCTCCCATTGCTATGGGAACAGATGGGATCAATATGGCAGCCTAGAACTCAATGCCAAATGTAAGCATCCTTTCTGATAGCTGGAACATGAGTCTAATGTGCCCATAAAATCATTTTTGAGTTGTTCCACTTTCATAAATTCTACAATAAAAGTTTTATTATAATACAAAAGAAACCATATTTACAACTTTGGTCTACATTGTCACTCTCTTAAAAGTTTGAGCACTAAGATGTTATCAAACCTGGAAATTATATTTAAAAATTCAATAACAACCAAATATGCAACACCATTCTGTTCCATTGTTCTCTCAAAAAACAAAACAAAAGAAAAAACTAGCAAATCTCACTTCTCTTAAAAATGAGCAACATAAGGTTGGGAGATGGCTCAATGGCTCACTTAGCTTGCAAATATTGAGTATATGATGCTGTGTCCCCAGACCACATAAAAGGCGGGAGACCTCAGTCTATAATCCTAGCATTGTGAGGGCAGACTCACATGATCCCAGAGCAAGCTTACTAACTAGACCAGCAGACAGTAGAATTAGTGTAAGTTCCATGTGAAATTCTTCTTCCATACGCACATTGTAGGACAACTGAGAAAGACACATGACATCAACTTCAGGCCTCACACACACATGCATACATATACCCATGCATTCATACTACATGTACATATAAATGAAAAAAATGATCTATAGGAAAAAAACTGAAATCATTTTCATTAAGAGTTAAGAATAACAAAGTCAGATGGAATGAGGAAAAAATTATGTGTTTGCAGACAATAAGCATACACAGAAGCCAGACTTACAATCTGTAAGTGCAATGTAACATTGTTATTTTACTTACTGTTATTAGTAATATTCTGACAACATTGGGGATAGAACACAGGAGCTTGTGCATGCTAGATATGCACTTTATCACTGAGCTATATTCTAGACCCTAGTCATATTAAAGGAACTGAATGAAAATCATAAAAATCATAAAAGAAAATTAGATTCATAACAGTTCTTATATCCTGTGATTATCAAACAAAACTAGTTTTAAATAGAAATGAAATATCTAAAATTAGGAAGGAAAGAAAGACTCATTTTGGAAACCAGACTGACCCAGTAGGAAAACAAAAAGGAATAAAGACTTTGTTCTCTAAGTAGAAGATGTAACTACAAAATAACCCAAGAATGCACAGAGATAACAGCACATACACAAAGAGTCCCAGAGAAGAAGAGCAAAGCAGTAGAAAAGGAACTTAAAGTATAAATTGAGAGAATTCCCTCCTGAAGTAAGTAAAACCCAAGAGTACATTGAAATAAAATACTTGAGACAACTTACCCAGAATGAGCTACACATAAAAGACACATCTTTGTCTAGATGATGGACTTAAGTAGAAAAAGAAAAATCCCGGTCAGCAGTAGAAGTATTATTATTAGACTGTTGATAGAGGAAAGGAGATAACACAGTTGAGACAATCAAATGGGTTCTAATAATCAAGCCACTTTACAAAACATAAAATGCCATAAATGTAAAGCCTCTTGGTGGTCTTGGGAGAAGTCCACTATGAGAACACATGTCAAATGTAAAGAAAGACTAGGTAGACATTGACAAATGGACTGGATTAGTTTTACATTATAGTTTTATGCACTGGTAGGCATGTTAACTGTGCACACTAACACGTAAGAGTGATGTAATAACACATGCATATAGTAAAAACCCATCAAGCCCAGGCTGTCTTTATTCACACACATACAACTCTTCAAAACCAATCTGACTTGATTTTTCTATATTCGGGTTAACATTTTCTAGCATCTGTATATAAGACAATATTTGATATTACTGTTCATGGCTTACTTCTTGATATAATGTCTTCCAGTTTCACTCATTCTGGTGCAAATGCCAAGCTTCATTCCTCTTTATGACTAAATAATATTCCATTGTGTATAGATACCACCCATCCATCTGTTAATAAACACTCATATAAGTGTCATATCTTAGGTGATATGAATGCTACTGTAATAAATGGCATATACAGGCATGTGTTTGGTATCCTGACTATATTTCCTCTAGATATAAATGTAAGTCCAGAGTTGGATTTATGAATTGGATAGGGGTTCTGATTTTATTGTTTTGAGGCACCTTCATGCAGGATTATATCTCTTTTCCATCACAGAACACACACACACACACACACACACACACACACACACACACACACCATTCAAAAGCATTTCCCCTAGCTACCCACACAGCACTGGGAAAGGAGCTTCTATAATCTGAGGGTGACTCTAGACTGGTCTAAGCCTGTCATGGATGATCAAGACACTTGCCCACTATTTGTTTAAGGGTCCAAACATCACCAGTGAGCTATGAGATGATGTCAGTTGAGTCTCTTGGAAAGTTTTTTCCTACTGCTTACTAAAGGTGTTATCATAACTGACCACACCAAGAAAGGTAGAATAAAAAGAG